GTTTGTTATATATATGATAAGATTTATCAAATAAGATTATAAGTATACATCTAAATAAGTTATTACGGTATTAGCACAAAAAAAAAAAAAGTTACTGCGGTGGTCTTCATCTTGTTTAGTAAGTATATAATTTTAAAGTACTATGAAAATATATATTAATAATAATAATATTATTATTATTAAAATTAAATGACTTTTTAAATTGTCTAAAGTCTAATTCTCTTTGCTAAATTGTTTTTTTTAAATATTCTAATGTATTTAGTAAATATAGTTAACCGGACTTAAGCATGATGTGGACTAACCTATTGAACCACCACGGTTTCTTTTCGTCCCTAATTACATTAGATTTAATTATATGTTACTTCTTACAAATTTGACTTTAATTGAACCATTGCCTTGTACAAATTGCTTTAATTAAACCTCCTCCCACATTAGACTATTGACACGTTGGTGCGTACATGAATTTATAATAATTATTTGAATTTTTGATTAAAATCTATTGATTATGTGAAAAACTTTTACATTATCATTCAAACATAGATATTTTAATAAAAAATACTAATGTTCATACTTCTTATACATTTTAGTTAATCAATAATATTAAAATTTTATACTGATAATACATAAAAATTAAATCTATTATTTTAAATGCTGATTTAGTTTATCATGTGGCAATAAATATTTTTACTACGATCAAATAGTAAAAAAAACGCTATCTTCAACTTAGCAATAGAAGACTCAAAGGCATGGAGCAAATTAATTGCCTGAGAGATGACAGAAAATGGTTTATGTTGAGAAAATGATTAATCAATAATTATAGGAAGGACAAGAACAAAAGGAAAAGTCACCATTATGAGATTCACAATCACGGAATCAAGGGCAAAAACCAAACCATTTACCTTTTTCAATTGGTTGCTTGCGAAATATACTCAATTCTTTCACTTTCAGTGATGCATCATTGATTTGCTACAGTCATCCACTCAATCATAAATGGCAACCACTTTTGCTTTTGTTGCCATTAAACAATTCCAGTCATATATATAATATCTCATTATTTACAATTCAATTTCACACAATATCTAGACAAGTTTTAGATCTCGATAGGAATTACCCTATTTCTCCATGTGCTCCACAGAAAATCACTGTTCTATAAAGTGGCAAGTTTTGTGCAAAAAGGGCAAATAATCAAAGCATGCTAAGCAAAGCTTTTATTAATTATCATAACAAAATTATCGAAATAATATTTTATATTTTTACCTTTTAACTTATTTTCTTCCTTATTAGAGCGCGGGTTGAGATGTCATGCCACCCTTGCATGGACCATCATTTTCTGAGTGTGTTTTATATTGAAATAAAATCTAACGTATATTCTTTATTAATTTCTTATTGTTCTTTCGTTTGTATTTCTGATTTTTGTCATTTGTTGGGTTGAAATAATAAAAATATTTTTTTTCAGGATTATAAAATATAAATCCACCAACAATAGAAGAAAGAGAGTGTGATTCTTGCTTTTTTCTTTAGGAAAATAAATCCCAACTCAGAATCCGTACTGGACAGTCCTGGCACGAAGCACGAAAGATAAGAAAAATTATAATATCCAGCGACAATATTATTAAGAAAAAAACTCCAATCTATTATAATAAAAGCTTAATGATATATTTTTCTCTCTTTTTAATTGTCTTAATTTTGAATTTTTTTATTTTTTTAATTCAATTGGGTTTCTTCAATTTTAAATTGAGCAACTTTTGTTTCCTTATCAATTTTTTATTAAAAAATCGTAAATTCTAATTTTATATTTAAAATATTTATAAATTAAATTTATTACTTTTACTCAAAACTCACTAATCAAACCATCAAATTTCACCCAAAAAAAATCTCAAAATTTTATCCTTTTCTAATCCCAATCTTCCATCTTATAAAATCATTCAAATCTTAATCCAAATTTCATTAAATTCTTCTAAACTATTTTATATAAAAAATTCATGAAAAATAAGATTTTTAGATTTTTAGATTTTAAGTAGAAAAATTAATAAAAGAAATAAATTTATTCTATTATAAAAATAAAAAACATAATCAACTCAGCAAATAATTAAGAGGCAAAAATTACGCATTATAAAATTTAAAAGGGCATAGATTAATTTGCATGGAGTTAGTTCAGCTTAATTAACAGTTTCAAGTTCGAATTTTTACAACACGCTTGTGTTTTACACACACACACACACACAGAGTGTAGCTAAGTGTAAAATGATTAAAAAAACAAAACACCCTTCACTCCAAAAGATATGCCGCCGGGCATGTTAGTGTCTTCCAAGGGGAAAAAAGGCCCTCCTATTTGGTGTGCATATTCAAAGTGAGCATAGATGAACACTTCACAAGAAGCCAATTTGGTGCGAAAGGGAAAGAAAACACAGAAAGTAGAAACAGATTGTATGATTGTGCTTATTTTATTTGCTTCCATATCATCACAGCTATCCAAGATATACCATATCCCACAGAAGCTTACAGAATTATGGACCCAACCCAACCTCCCATACTGGTGAGATATAAATTAAGTCATGTGTGGTTCAATAATGTCCACGGGACATCTATTTGAGTCGTATACCTTAAAGTTCCTTGAGTTGATACATGCTTACGGAGTCATGCTACTGAACAAGCATTCTTTTAACCCTTCGTGTCGTATCTGAATGTATGAATGTGTATAAAGAAATAAAAAATAGATGCGTTTTCATGTACATCTACTATCACCTAAAGCCGTAAAACGTCTTGTTGATTGTCACACACAACGCCAATGGCAAAAGGTTTTTGCCTTTGACCCAGCTCCTCCCCACCGTGTTTGATCATCAACGGGTTTCCAGCTACTTAACTTCTTATCATCGTGGATCCAAATGATAATGTATTCATGTTCAAATTGTCCTGTCATATTATACTTATAGACTATCCTACTGTAGGCCTAGGCTTAGCTGTGATCTGAATAGAGTACTGATCAGTTCCACTGGTTATCGGGACTACACCAAAAAAACCTTTCAATTTTTGTTAACAAGATGGGAAAGTGATTGATTCAATATTTTGTTAATCTGAACGCATGTTATCAATATTATCCTTATAAAAAGTTTACATTATATTGTTTTTAAATTTCTTAAAATACTTGCACGCACAGAGAGAGAGAGAGAGAGAGAGAGTCAAGTGTAATGTCACGTCTAATATTTTTAAGGTGGAGTTGGGAGGGATGAGCGATGAAAGGAATGGCCAAACGTGAATTATATGTATGTCCACTCGACAGTGGTCACAAGTTCAGTGGTACAATTCAGATGTTTAGGGACTGTGCTGTGCAGCTTTCGATCTCGAGCCTGGCTCATCTGCCTAAATGCGTCGTTCCAAATTATATTGAGTAAAAACAAGTAAAGACAAATACAAGTCATATCCGCATATTACAAACACTGTGTTATCTTATCTTCAAAAATGTCTGCTAGACCAGGACACTTGTCCCCCTAATCACTGTATCTGTCATTAGTTTAGAGTTTAACAGCTAAGAGATTTCTAAAATTCTGAACTTAATCCCTATTATTCAAAGTGAGGTGACACTACTTATGTTTTTCACCCAAATTACACGGAATATATTTTTGAATTTGTCTTTTTTTTTTGTTTATGTACAAGATATATCATTTAATCCATCCATCATTCATGGTCAAAGAATCACAAAACATTGTAGAATCCTAGGGATGGACCAATTTCTCACCTCTATAATTGTATGCTTCGAATAATTTTTTACTTAATAAAAAAAATGATTTTTTCTACACTAGCCGAAAATAAATATTCAAACTAAAAAGTAATAAGACTCGGTATCCAAGGTTGCCCCTGGTTCGTTTAAGCAAGACTTGCAAATTAAATGGGCCTATAAAAGTATTGGTTTGCCTTTAATTCATTTTGACCCACGGGTTAGCAAAATTGCTTGTTTACTTAATAAAGTACTACTTCACGTGCGTTGAGAGTCTATTTGCACATAGTGCATTTGTTTTTGCCCTGTGTGGCTTTGGGCCTTGGATTAGGCTTTGTTTGTAATTCGTGCTCTTGCCTGATTTTCAATCTTTTTGAATGAAGTTCTCTTGACAAAAGAAAAGGTACTAAAATATTTAAATATAAATATATATATATGTAAATTGTAAAAGTATATAAAAATATAGTAAAAAATATATATTTTTATATATAATTAGCTCATTTGCTGATGCATTAATCCATGGATCAAACCGGTTTAACTCGAAGGTTAAATGGATTGACTATAAAAAAAAAAAATCGGCATTTAAATGGATCAACCACAAACTTGAGTACATATACCCAACTAAACAAAGTAACACGTTGCTAAGGCAAAACGAGTCTGTTGTCGCACCCAAAACAGAAAATCAATTATGACTGCATTTCATACCAAAATTCAAATAAGTATAGAATTATGGAAGTTAATTTTCAAACTTTTTAGTATCTTTCATAGAAGACAATTCAACTCAACTGTTAGATAGCACCATTATGAACATTAAAACTCGCCATCTCAATATTTTACATAATTACATATTCAAACTAAAATTCAAAATCGTTGATTAAACTAGAAAAATATAGTTAATTTTTAAATTATGACGAGTATATCAAAGGAATACTATCCATTTTAGTTGTCGCTAAGGGGATTGGAAACTTCAACATTTAATTCTACGAGTTATATTAATTGTTTGCTTATTTTGAAGTTAAGTGTCATTAAAATATGTCCAAGCTAAGCTTAATTATAGATATTATTTATAAATATATTCCACATCGTGTAAAACTATTTTTCAACGGTAACCAAGCATGCACTGAGTAATGCCCAAGTAACTAAAATCAACCATGAAATCTACGTTCTACGTTAAATAATATGTCTGGAACTTATTCTGAAAAATAAAATTTTCAAAAACTCTCGTATAAGCCTACTTTTGTTTAACAAAATAAACAATCAAGTAGCTATATGGAAAATTGTGTAAATTGGGAGAAACATTACTCGTTACCGTGGTCAGCCTCGCACTTGATTCAATACACAGAGCAGTTCCATTAGCTTTCCTTATCTTAGATAAACACCATCCATCTTACAATTTTCCCACTCAGGTACTCGACCTCCTAAATTTACATTATGGTACCAAAATGGCGAGACAAAATGAACGATGCAGCGAAATATTCCCAAACATAAACATAAGTCGATGATGTTGATGCAGCACGTGTTTACCAATTAATGCACATCGACTAACGCATAAACTATTATCCACTCGCTTAGTTCCAAAGTCAAAAACACAAGCCCTGACTAATCTCCGTTCTATTATATATTTGCAGTAGCTCGCATAAAACGTGAATAACCACCGTCAAAAAGAAGGCATTGTAATATGCCTATGCTTGCGTACCAAGCTCCAAGAGTAGCGTGTGACTAATTGCATTGGATCCTGGGCCGGTGAATTGAATTGGACCTACAGTAAAGATCATCATCATCATGAGCGTTGCTCCAGTTCAACATTCAAAGATCTCGACCAAAAAAAAAGATATTTCAACTTACCGCACTAATTTCTAGCTAAGATAAAACGGCAATACAATTTCCAAACTAAAACAAAGGAGCATGACTAAGGTGCAGACGGAAGAAACAGTAAATGCAAGAATAGTCAGTGCATACCCGGACTGATGTACCGATTCTTGAGGGCCCACTCATCCCGCAAGGAGGCATACTTTTTGAAGGGCGCTCCTGAGGATTCAACATGAAATGTAGTCGTTCAGTACTCCACGACAATTGAAGTAGGTATTATAACAGCAATTGTTATGTATCTGATATTTGCTAATCCACATTTATAAAGAACAGAAAATCTGTACCCATTAACTTGAAAGTTAGGCTATCAAGTATGTCATGGTGATCAACAACGAGGTGTAAAAAAAACTAATCTTTTGTGCCACATTATGAACTCATAAAAGAAAATACTTTTCCCTCCCTTTCATTTTATTGTCATCCTTCCATGAAAGAATATATATATATATATATATATATATATATATATACCTTCAAGCTCCACCATTGCCTTCTTGATCACGGGTTTGAATTTACCTGCAAAGAAAATCACACAATTCTTAAACAGCAGAACATTAGAGAAAGCATCCAAACAAATGAAATGTACACATGTATTCTGGAATTTTAACATTGCTGTGTTGTCAAATATAAAAGTTGTTTCTAATTTAAAATTCAATTATAGCGAATGTCATCTGCAATACATTTGGTTTATATAACTATGGATCTAAGTTTTGAAACATGGAGACAAAATGTTATTTGATGAATAAAAATTCAGAGATAAGGTATTGGAACAAAGCGAAAGCTCCAATAGATCAAAAGATACCATGTCTCCTTTCCACGTCCATCAGTGCAGTGAGGGCAGTTCCACCAACAGTCCATTCTTCTACAGGAGCACACAAATTACCAACCTGACCAAAATATCATAGCAAACCCAAGAATTGAGTCAATGACCTCAACATTCTCAAACAATTTCAACCACTATCAATCATTAAAACCAATCTAGAAGAAATATATAATTTGATCATTAGAAGATAGTGAGAAGAGCATTGGCACAAACTGATGATATTAATCCGGTCTTCCCACTTTGAAGGAGGACTGCAGCACCATAACCCAAAGCATAACAGTAAGTAGAATCAAAATTAGTTGGCAAGCCACATCTTCCTTCATAACTGCATAATTTAAAAGTGTGTCAGTAACTACAAACTTTAACAAAAGAAGTCAAAGATAGAGATACATTAGCAAATGTATGGTCAAAAGAAATTGTTCTAATCCAGGTTAAAGGCAAAGTATAAAGCAGGACCATAGAACTTTTTTATTTATTTATTTTTTTCTAGAATATCATCAAATCTTGCAACTCCAACAATGATATCTAAATTAGATACCCGAAAAAGTGGGACTGCCCCCTAAAGCCGCCTTTATATGTGCCTTCTTGCTTTCTCTTCTCCAACTCAGTTTCAACCATTTGAATGAGCATTTTCTCTGTTTCTATCTTGGCAACCTGAATGGGAATGTATACCAACATTGAAGCTAAGTCAAATTGTGTTACAAGGGAAAATAAACACAGCAAGCATAGCACCATAGCACTGCTAAGCACCTGAACGTTTCCATGTGGATCTCTTTCAAGCATTAATTGTTCTTGAATTGCTTGAGGCAAAAATTCAAAAAGCTGTAATGACTGATCAGTGAGTTTCTTCTTCCATTGCCCATCCTCATCCACGGTATCATGGGCCAGAATTTCATTGAGTTCTGCAATAAGGTGCTGGACCTGCAAACAAATAGAATATAAAAATGAACTTCATTTACAAGTATTTGCATATTGACTGTAAATAAACAGATGCCAAAACATCGAACAGATAGAAAAAATTTCTATTTGTGATGAGTGATAGCTACCTCAGGAATGAAATCTATTAGACCTTCAGGAATAAGAATGACCCCATAGTTATAATTCACCTCAGCTCTTTTAGAAATGATATCTACAATGTAGTCAGTGACATTCTTCAGTGTCAGCTTCTTGGCAGCAACCTGAAATGAGATATTTACAGGTCAAATCAAATATTTGATAGAGAGATCTGACATATCAATGAATCTAAGAAAAATTGAACAAGGAAATGCACATCTTTTGCAAGGATTGGGAAAGGGGGAGGGGGGGCGAATGTTGGAAGGTACTAGTTACTTAAGGCTGCTAAATATTTCATCAGCCCATCAGTATTGCAATATCACAATCTGTGCATTTTTATATTGAAGTGATTATTCAGAACCATGTGCAAGCAAAATTTTGGATTATGTCCTCATTTAATTATATATTCTCTGATTACAAAGCTGTACCAAACAGTGATTTTTCTTTCACTTAACATTAATATTACAAAAATCATGAGCAGTGGAGAGCCAATTAGCAAACTTTAATCACAAGATCAGTAAGGATGCATTTTATCTTGATTTCATCAACCCCACAAACTACCCAAACACTAGATAAATGACCAGATTTATGACAAACCTCTTCTCCAATAATAGTAATGTTTGGATGAGTTTGCAAAGCACATTCCAGTGTAATGTGTGAAGCTGCACGCCCCATAAGCCTCACAACTGCAGACAGATGACGGAGAACAATAATGAACAGGTAAGGTACGGGCACACACACACACACATGCTTAGACAGAGAGAGAGTGAGAGAATGCAAAAATATGAAGCCTCGTATTTAGTTATTCAATAAAAAAGAAGCTCCAACAAATACAGAACCAATTCCATCAAACCTAATTTTGAGGACACAGATTTATATTCATGGACTTGTCAACGATTCATAAATGTTATGAAAATGATCCTTTCAACAAGAGGAAACCATGAGCAAAAAGACAATTCAAGAGTCAGAAATAGAAAAATCACATAACAAGAGATATGTTGACTGTGTCAGAAACCAGTAAAATGAAAACCGAAAACAGTATTAAGGAGGAAGAGAAATGTATAAAAGAGGTGTATTTTGCAACACACACACAGCTACACTCTTGTTACTCTACTAACAGAAATGTAAAACTGACTCTCCACACTCCACTTGTCATCCCCTTTTTTATTTCTTTTGCTATATGTTTTCCCAAACCAAGGCCCATGGCTGAGCAGGGTTGGACCAACTAACTCCTGAGGCCTTAAGGAAGGTGTAGGAACAAGCCAATTTCTATCCCAAAAGTCAAATGGGTAAAGAAGAAGATATCATACAAGCATGTAATTTGAATGAAAAGAAGATGGAATAATCAGCAAATATTGGCCTTTATTGAAGCATGTTTTTGTTGTACCAATGATTGGATTTGTGATTTCAAAACAAAATAGTTGAAAATATGACTTTAGATTTTTATGTCAGAATGAGAACAAGTGATAATATGAGCTAAAGTGCATTAAGTATAAAACTTGAAATGTTAAGTGGACCATTTGTAAGAAATGGGAAGCAAATGAATAGTAATAGCAATGAATATCTGAATATCTAAGGTGATGCATTAAAGATTGATCAGTGCAACTCCACAAAGCATCTAATCTTTAATTGCTATAGTTCTAAAATGTTTCCCACTTTCAGATACTTACAATGGTAATATTTTCCAGTTGATCGAGCATCTATCATAACATTTCCAATCATTTCTGCGTATATCTGCATTTCATTAAAATAAAAATGTGAACAAGGTTAGGCCATGCAAGTGTATAAACGCATATCCCAAAGGCTATCTAACAACAATTGGCAGAAGGGGGGGGGGGGGTGCTGGGAATCTAAAGGATATGCATTAAGATTATTTTTTAAAAGTATTTACAGATAACACAATGCTATTTCAATCGCAAATAAACCAAGCAGAAAAACATTATTATATGATAAAAGGAAAAGGGAAAAGCAGCATGAATGGAACATTCCATAAATCATGTACAAATCAAGGAACATATAAGAAAGAAATATTCCATGAAAAATGCTGACAGAATTGCTGGAGAAAAGGCAATGCATCTGGTGCACTCAAAAGCACCCTGATATACTAGGATATTTCCATCATTAGCATAATTTTTGTATAGAAATTTATTTGTGATTCAAAGATAAGATTAATTTTTTGAAATTTTACAATAATGTAAAAAATATTAGACCAATAATTATAAATGCACAGCAAATACTGACTGCTTAGCTTCATTCACCTTGCATGCTGTATCAAACCCAAAACTTGTGGGAACTTCTTTGCATTTCAAATCACCATCAATGGTTTTAGGGCACCCAATAACACGAGTTTTCATATTTTTGCTCCTGTATAATCCAAATTAAACAAACAATAAACAAATAGGAAGGCTTGCATATTTATGAAAGGTAATTTTTTCTTCTCTTAAGTATATGCCAAACAAATTTAACAGAGATGGACAGCTGATAGGGTCATAGGATATTGAAGGTAAATCATAAACTAACAATCAAATACATATGCACTGAAAAAGCTTCTTGATACAGATCTAGACAAAATCTAATGGGCTCAAAAGACTCGGACATGCATAATTGTATTGAAATAAAAGTCATATAAAAGTTTTTAAAAAAAAATGGCCCTGAAGCTAAAGACTACGTCTATGATATTAAGAAGAAATATTTGAGTGAGAGGTTGAGAGGGGAGCGCCCTTGTTCCTGGACATAGATTATGCCAAAAGTAAATTTCATTTATAAAAACCTGAAATGCTCAGCAAGAAGGCACGCATTTGTGTTCGAGTCATCTCCACCAATAACAACAAGGCCATCCAAGTCTAGCTTCTGGACTGTCTCTTCAGCTTGTTTAAACTGTACATGTAAAATGAATTACTCTGGAGACTTGAAGATTTATAAGCGTTCAAATGAACAATCTGTATACAGAATGGTGGACAAATGGGCCAACCTGCTCTGGAGTTTCAATCTTGTCCCTCCCACTGCGAATCATGTCAAAACCACCCTGACAACAGAACTTGTTCCCATTAGTTGTCATAATGATCGCATGATTATTATTTCTAGGAAAAGAACAGTAACAGTAGTAGGCTGCCTAAATTGACAACATTTACATTTAATAGCCACCAATAGAAGGCATATCATATGCATTAAGTTTACAGCATCAGAAGTCAAGAAATACAAACAATATCACAGCGAAAGGCAGATATTTATTCCACAGAACATTATTAAAAAAATTAAAAAAATTTGATTTTACCAGTTGAAGACTCACAATATACAGAGGCTCCCAAGATACAAATAACAAAATTTCAAAAGAACATTGAAATAAAAGAAAAAAATAACAAAAAATTTCAGCCCAACTACATTTATAGCATGTTCTTAACTTTATATTCCAAAAACTCGCGAATACGAAAATAAACCTGATTTCTATAAGGATAAATATAGTCTGAGGTGAGTTCAACATATTTGCACTTCATGATGCCAGCTGGACCACCCCTGAAACCATACAATGTGCTTCCTTGTGCTCTCTCTTGCAGGTAATCTAAAACGAAAATCAAACTTTCAAATTGAAACCAAACCACATAAACCTAAACAACAAGCTCAAAAAAACACAATCAGCAGTAATTCAGTTCAATTGGAAAATCATCCTTTACCGAAAATTCCCGAAATCACATTGTGACCGCCAGGAGCCTGACCGCCGGACAAAACCACACCGATCTTAAACTTCTGATTCGACTGCGCCGCATCCGCATCACTCGGCACCAGCGTCGCGGACGGTTGCCCGAACAGGTTTGGAAACAGCTTCGCGATCTCCTCTGCAAAAAACGATAAAATCGAAAAATTACGGCGAAGTCGAGCAAGAATTGAAGTTGCCAAGGGGAAGAAAAGTGACGGAGAGAGACCAGGATTGCCGGCGGCGGAGCTTTGGGGACCATCGACGATCTTGAAAGGGGTTTTGAGAACGGATGGAAGAGGGAGAGCGTGGTCGATCCGGCTATTTTGGACCTCGCTGTACACGGAGGCAAATCGGCCGGTGGTGGAAGGAGGAGTGACCCTGCCGCCGGTGAAGCCGCCGTTAATTGCGAAAGATGGCGCCATTGGATTTTGTGGAGGAGAGAGTGAAGGGAGTTGCTGCTAAGTGATCAGTGCAAAAAGCAAATTGAAGCGGTTACCTACCTTACTATCCTTTAATTAATTAAATAAATAACAATTAGGCTTACCAAACTTCAATTATCGTTATCGTTTAGGGAAAAAAGAGGGTTGGTTGGGTTATCTTTCTAACTTTGATAGATTACATTAGATTAGATGCTTGAGAAGGTGACATCATTTCGTTGGTAAACTTGTTAATACGGGTGAATTATAGCCTGTTTGGTAACCCATAGACTTCCGATTACGGCGACCAAAATTAGGTCTCGATTTGAGCGTTTTTCGCCTTCTTTTATTTTTAAAGTAAAATAATTTTTTAATCAAATTAGTTTTTTTAAGTGTGAAATTCATAATATATATTTACATTTACACTAAAAAATATTGTTTCATCGTATAAATGAAAATAATTTTTAAAACTTAATTTTAGATATTATTTCTACACAATTATTTTTCCAAAATTTATTTTCTTAAAATTTATTTTTGTAAAATTTAAAACAAATAGATCTTGATCATTTTTCAAACAGGGAATTGTTTATTTTTCTCTTTTATTTTTATTATAAATTAAATCAACACAAATAACTTTTTTCCACTAAACTTCACTCGGAAGAAAATATTCGGCAAATTCTAATGATTTTTATATAATACAACTATATTTGATTGTTTTTCTATCGGTTTGTTGTACCTTATATCTTTTTTTTAGCGCATGCATGCTAATGTATTTGTTTTTCAGCAAAGTTAAATGCCAAATAGTGTAATTCTTAAAAATGTATACAAATTCAAATAAAAAATTACCAAAATATTAAGGGATTACTTTTCCTTCCTTTCCTTGTCATCCATAAATCCCAGGTATTTTACTTGGGCTAATAATTCGGCATAGTTTCTCATTCTCTTTGTCTCCATTTTTTTTAGTGACTAAAAAGGAAAAGCCCAAACTTCTTACGTACACAGTGTCAACTTGATTTGCTAATATATAGCAACAGATATAAGAAGGGACTTGATCAAATTCTTGTTATCCATATGAATATGGTGGCCAAATTTGGCGAACAAACTTAGAAGTTAGGTTCTTCGTCTCATGAATGAGAGAATTAAAAAGCTGAGTGAGGACGAGGACATCCATTATCATATTAAGAGCACAAGATGAATCGTTTCAATGATGACCTTATTAAGATGTAAACTATCTCCTAAACGCAATGCATGGATAATTACCCATAATTCATCATGATTAGTAGAACAGATACCGAAGTTGCAAGAAAACACCTTAACAAACTGACCATGTCATTACGAGCAATCCTTCCCCAGTCTGCTAACGATCAAGGTTGTATGATAGAACCATTAATTCGTATGTTTCATCGTGTCAACCGAGAGCCAATATGGCTCTATATGATAGGCCTTCAAATTGCAAAGAGATTTTTTTTTTTTTCTGAAAAATGATATAGTATTTCATAATTTTCAAGGATATTTTGAAATTGTGACATCCCGAAATTATGGACCATCTCAATGAGAAGTTATGGTTTTATGTTTTTTGGTTAGCATCGTTGTATTTTTTATGATTAATGTGTAGTTTTGGTGTTTTAATAATTTCTACTTAAATTTAGTCTTTTTAATTTTTAAATATTCAATTAAGTCCTCCTTTTATTTTTTTCCCGTAGAAAACAGCCAAATCCGCTTCTCCTCTTTTTACTTAAAATTTTAAGAATTTAAGATAAATATACAATAAAAATCATTAAACAGGTTTAGAAGTTAAATTTGAAGTACCTTATAAGATGTAAGTTTAGAATTTTGAAGAGAAAAAAAAATTGTGATTTATATGACATTTTGTTTTGTGAGTTTTTTTTATTGCTTTAAAAAAAGAGGGTTCAAATTGTTAAAATGATTGTTAATATAAAATTTTAAAAAATTGTAAGTTTTTTTTTAAAAAAAGCAATTAAGTAAAACGTTTGATTGTAACAACAAAAAAATTGAGAGGTTAAATTAATACAAAAAATTTATTGAAGTATCAAATTTTCACTCCAACCGTAGTAATAATAAGTACAACTGAATTTATAAAAGAATCAAATTCAAGTAAGACCTTACCAAGTCTTATAAAAAATAAAAGATAAGATAAGAAAGGCCTTACTAAAACTCTACTTTTTCCGAATAATTTATTTGGTCTAAGAAAACATTCATCGATGCCCATGACTTGTCGTGGGAAAATATAAAGAATTGGAGGTCCCTTAACTTTGCTTTCATATGAATCATACGAGTCTATTCATTCTTTTCACCTTGTTTCTTATTCTAAAGAAAAGCAACAACTTAAGAGACAGTCTGTCTTGTGTTTCGGTATTCTATTTCTATGTTATCTTTCCTCTCCGGGGACTTAAGCTTTTAGCTTTATCTCTAGCAAGTAAAAATCATTATAGCAACATGTGCTTCAAGGCATGCATAAACAACTTCTTGTACTGGTTGCTGACATATAATTACCATAATAATGCAGAAAAACGAGGATCATATTTTTCTCAAATTAGCATAGTAATCAATGATAATCACATGCTAATCACCCAGTGACATTCTTTTGCTTTATGAACAAGTTTTGCTGTCTTTGTAATGTGTACCATACAAAGACGAATCTGTTAAAGAGATTCTTAATTAGCTGGGTGGATCTTTAGTCGGATTTTCTCCATAATTGGATATTTAATAACGATCAACGCGCGCTCATACACAAAATCAATTGGTACAAGAGAAGTTTTAATTAACAAGAAATGAGAAAAAATTGCTTGGAAGTAGGAACTTGTTTGATTCATCAAGTCATCCAATATTGGGACTAAAGGTCATTATTGAAGTAGAATGTAACAAATTTAGACTTCTTTATCTCATCAACTAATTTAGTAATTGGCCATCCATTGCATTTATAATTTTTCTCAATTTGAAAGTGAAACTGGGTCAAAGGGCACATGAGTGTTAAATTACTAGCCGAAGTGTGTGCTAAGCTCTACTAGGCATGTCATCAACTAGCTCTTATTAAAGAGGCTTCAAGAGTCATGAACCCTCTCTTTTTTCCGCCCATATTGATCAAATTTTAAATTCTAGTCCACCTAATACTATCCTAAAAGGGTTGAGATCATGATAGGTTGAGTTAAACATAATGATCTTTGGCTTAATTAACAATAAGTATGTCCCCCATCTGGCCTTCAAGCTAACACCTAATCTAGTTTTGAATGTTCTTTAAACAAAACATAATGATTAATTCACTGCCGTGCCTCACTTGTCAATTGTGCATAAGTGATTATTCTTGGACAAATTTCCCTTCAAAGCTTAGTCTCTGTGTCCCAGAATGAAAGCCTCAAAGCAACAGAAGCAGCGTCAGCTCCAACAGAGAGGGTGCAGGACCTTGTGTTGCAGTTGCAGGCTTAGTGTTTCTTCCTCGGAGGAAGCAGAGAGCTCTGCCTCTGATAGGTTCCCTTCTGTTTCTAGCCTTGCCCATGCCATGGTGCAAGAGAGACTTGACCAAATGATTAGAGAAAGGCTTGAAGATAGGCATGTAGAGAGAAGGCGGCAACAAAGCAGAGAAGGAACCAAGTTTGTAGTAATGGTAGCTATGGAGAAGAACTCTTATGATCCAAGAGAGGATTTTAGGGAGTCCATGATGGAGATGATAACTGCCAACCGCCTTCAAGACGCAAAAGATCTACGTAGTCTATTGAACTATTATATCTCCATGAACTCTAATGAGTATCATAGTCTTATACTTGAGATTTTTCATGAGGTTTGTACTAATTTGTTCTTATCATGTAAATGCCATTGGTAACGAATGTCAAATTGCCAATTACTTCATGAACAAAGCATGCTTGGGGATAGTTTAGTTTTTCTTTTACTGATTCCCACATAACATGCATTATGGGGGACCTTGCTATTTCGCCAAAAAAAAAAATTCGAATAAGATGGAAGTTTCTACTGCCATTGATAAGTAGGGGGTCTCAGCTCTTTAGAAATCCATTTTTCATGGATGAAAGAAAAAACATTGAATCAATATGGAGAAACACGCATCAAGTATGAGTCAGTAAACTGCATGCGATTTGCTTTTAAGGAAAAAACACGTTCTCCAACGAAAAAAAAAAGTAAGTGAAGAATACAAATATTTAACCATAAAAAAAATATAATATGAATGGTATTCTGTTATTTTTTTCTGGTACAATATGAATGGTTTATTGCTTGGTAAGGACGTGTCATATAAATAAAGTTGTACGTCTGAACAAGCTCAGTAACTAAAAATCTGAATATTACTTTTACTCACACTTCTATGAAGCAAGAATAAGCCCAAGTTTTTCATCATGTGTCAGATATAAAAGAGAGACAAAATCTATAATAACATATATAATGGTGTTTGGGCGATTCATTCCTGGTATGCAGAAGAGTCACGGCTAGTTGTAATGTCACTCACCTGCCCAAAACAAGCAGAAAATTATCCAGGAATTGCTTGATCACGTCAACTTGCTAAAATCTTTCTTTTTTCGAACTTTTATAAAAATTTACCCAAACTGGGCCATAATGGAAGATTAAGGGAGGGACAAAGGAAGATTTAAATACCTACAAGACGAGTTTGCGCCACAGTGGATAGTACTTGATCTTGTGCAAGATCTCTTGCGAATCTGAACATAAACGAGCCAATAAATAACAAAGGAAAAATACAAACCGAAAAAGAATTCCCACAATATCCATGTTGGAACAGCTGCACTTCTTGAATTTAAAACTTGAGGATAGGTTAATGAGTAATGAAGTTGTAACTACTGGATCAGCGAACTGAACAGAGCTTTTGGATAGTGAAATTATATAAGCCGCTGCTCTTAGATGCTACCTAGCAACATCAACATGCAGTCGTGTTCCCCTATACAACAACGAGAGCATACTTGCAATGGATTTAAACACGTAGAAAAAACAAAATAAACATTCTCTGTGTACACATTGATTTTCCTCTTATCAGAATGATAAATAACTATCTGCTAAGAAGTTCATCATTCATCTCTACCAAATGTCTACACATCAATAATTTGTGATATTGATTTAAATTAAATCGAATTTATTTATTAAATTAGTTTGATAAATCAATAACTATTTACCGATTGTATTTAACAACTCTTTTTCTCTCGCTTTACTCCGCCCACTTAACAACCAAAATGTAGCCGTAGATGGATTTTTT